ATCAGTGCCAGATTATTCGAGCCGTAGGTGAGAGTTCTCTACCGTATCCCAGTGAGTTTATCCTGACGAGTTTCCGCTCCTGGACTTTTGAGTTTGCCTGCCTCTTTTCTGATCTGTTTGCCCGACTTGTCTTCTGACGTCCATTGGATTCGGCCTGTTAACGACCTTGGATCTGTCTCCCGACCACGGCCTGGATTTCCCTTCAGTGCCTCTTCTGATCTCTGAACTTCTGTCTTGGACCTCTGTGTCCTCATCAACACCGGCTTTGGATTCTCCTTCCGGATACTTCTGCTCTTCCTCATCAGCTGGTTTCTGCTCGGATTCCAATCCTTCCTTTGGGCTTGTACTGAACTTAATAACCAGAGATTAAGCCATCTAATCCTACTAGTCGAGATGCAGAACTCCAAACAATTAATAAATTCTGTTTATAAATCACTTCAGTTTGTCTGCCTGAATTCTGGGTCCACCGTTCTGAGTCCTGACAGTAACTCAAAGCAACTTCTCTGATCCGAGTAACTTGGACAGATTTATTTTGTCATTTTGTATACACGAGTGTAAACAAAAAGAAATTTTGTTTAAAACAGATCTAGACAATTTCATTTTTTAAAGTGCAGCCTTGAAAAAGAGTAATAAATACATAAAAAATAGTAATATAAACATATGTCTGTATATTTACAGTTCTAACATTCATTATTTATACATTTTTTTCTATAAATAAAATAACCCATTTTACACAACATTCAGCAGTCTAATGGCAGTGGGGAAGAAACTGTTATGGAATCTGCTGGACCTGCATCGGATGCTTCAAAGCCTCTTCCCAGAGGGCAGCAGGGAGATCAGGCCCAGGAATTTGGTGCTGCTGATCACCTCTGCAGCTGAGCTGTTGATGACCAGTGGAGCGTGGTTAGGCCGGTTCTTCCTGAAAATCAAGATGATCTCCTTCATCTTCTCCACATTCAGGATCAGGCTGTTATCTTTGCACCAGTCAAAACCAAGGACAAAACCGAGTAAGATAAACATTTCTATTAAAATCTGTTGTCCTTTCTCATGGTTATTTAATACATATAAATTATGAAGTGTTTTTTAAAGAGTTTGTCCCAAGTGATCTCTTTTTAGGAAAAGAACCAGAGAGAGAAAGCTTCAAGGTGGAATCGCAGAGCTTTCCATAACACAGCTCAACAGGCGGCCATGTCCAAGAAACACCCAGCCAGGCAGACGAGCTCCAAGCCAGCTGCCATGTCAGAGGATGAAGAGAGCACATCCAGCCAGTCACAGTCAGAGAAACAGGACTACACTAAAAAATGGGCCAATCTCCAACATCTATAAACAAAGGTGTTGATGGCAGCAGCACAGCTGATATTTCTCTCCAGGATGGAGTCACATCCAAACAGGAACAGACCAGATGAAGTTACTATGAGATAAAGCAGAGAGAGCAGAATGTTAGAGATTGAACTAACAGATTCTGCAGAAT